AGACACAGGGGAAGGTCTTAATGACCTTGGAATCGGCATTGGAACCTTAGATACAACAACAAAACTAAATGTGAGGAGGAATAAATGGACTAGATGTCATCAAAATTTAAAACTTATGTAGTTCAGAGTACTATTATCAAAAAGGCAAGAGGAAAAGACAACCTGTAAAATGGAAAAAAATATTCATACATAATTTAACTGGTACTTAGTGATCTATGGTCATTAGTGATGATCTTGTGGTGTAGTATCCAGAATATACAGAGAACTCTCAAGATTCTAGAAAGTTAAGCAACTGTAATAAAAAAAATGAGCAAATGAATTAGGGAGACATCTGACCAAAGAAGTTATAGAAATGACCAAGAAGTATATGGAAAGATGCATGACATCAAGTCCTTGAGAACTGCAGTGAAAGAATCAAGGAGACTGTGATTGTAACACATTGTGATTGTAACAATTTAAGGAAAACAGCATCACAAAGGATACTGCAAAAGTGAAGACTGTAAAACAATGCATGTAAAATAATGTAGAAAATATTCAGATTTTTTAAAATAAGATTTAACATAGCATTACCACATGGCCCAGCAATTCCATTCCTAAAGTATAAACAGTGTTTCCAAAGAATCTGTGCCAACCCTTTTTGGAAGTTGTTATAACAAGTTACTATCACTGAGAGGTAGGCCTTTTATTGAACGGGACCAAAGGAGGGGTAGATCTGAGGGAGAGGAGAGGTGGGGGAGGAGACTGAGAGGTGTAGAGGCAAGAGAAACTGAGGTCAGGATGTAATGTATAAGAAAGATTAAAAAACTCTGCCTGGGGGGGGGGGCAGGAAGGAGAGTTGGCTCTGAAGTCATAAGAGCAAGAGAGATTCCCCTGACCCTCACCAGCTGCAGCACTTGGTAGAGCAGGCCCTGTGCCCACCCAGGCAGCACCATAGAGCTGATTCTGTTGGTGGAGTTGTGGGTGAGGCAGCCTTGAAGTTGTGAGCATGAGAGAGCTGCCCACACTACTCATCCATCATTCAGAGGTGTGGGTGGAGGAAAGCTCCCCCATCACACCTTGCCGTCTGCAACAGACAATGGAGCCAAGCCTTCCCCTGATCAGCTGTAGCACTCAGGAAAGTGGGCCCTGTGCCTCACCTAGGCATCACAGTAGAGCTGACCCCATTGGCAGAGGACAGGTGAGCTGACCCTGGTGAAATGGGAATGGGCTAGCTGGCTACACTCCATTCAGCTGCCATGTGGTGGTGAGGGTGAGGGAAAGATACTCTCTTCCCTTGTCCCTACTACCTGTGGTGGGTGAGGGAATTGACCCTCCCCATTACCAGCTGCAGTACTCAGGAAAGGAGCCCTGCTCCTCACCTGGGTACCACAGGAGAACTGACTGGTGTGTAGGTGAACTGCCCCAAGAATGTGGGCATGGAAAATCTGGCTCCACCCCTCACCTGTCCTATAGTAGTGTGTGTATGAGGGGGGAGATGGCTTCCCCACAACTTTCTCTACCTGTAGCAAGTGGAAGAGCTGGCTCTGGCCCTGGGGTCATAGGAGCAGGAGAGTTATTCCTACCCCTCACCACCTATAGCACATGGGAGACTTACCCCTGCACGTTGCCTAAGCAACACAGTAGAGCTAGCCCTGGTGGTGTAGATGTGGGAGAGCTGACCCTTGTTCATCTCTGCAAGGGATGAACTAACCAGGGTAATAATGGAGAGTTCACTCTGGTAGTGAGGACAAGGGAGAGCTTGCAGGCTAACAAACCCTGCAATTCCCCAGGCCGAAAACCAGGGTTATGAGTTGGTCCAACCTGTCTGTGATCTGCTGGAGCACATGAAGAGGCTGGTTCTTCATACCCAAATCTTCAGGTTCATCCACAACACAGAGCAACAACAAGATATCCAAGAGGAGTCTCAGTGAGGCCCCAGCATCGATAGGGTAGCAGAAACCAGAGGATTCAAACCAGACCAATGACTCTTTGCAATGAACACGTAGAAATAAAGGTAAATGAATAAAAGGGTTAACTGTGTGGCTCACTGTGTCACACTACAGCTTCCATGATGAGATTTATTTTTCCTTTTTCCTTCTTTTTTCTTCTCTTAAATTTTATTGTTATTGTTATTATTAGTAGTAGTGGTGGTAGTAGTAGTAGTAGTATATTTGGGGGGAGGTTGCAATGGCAGAGGGCAGATATGAAGGGATGGGGAATGAATGGGTTTGACACGTATGACACAAAGAAACAAAAAATAAACAAAATGAAAGTTTAGAAATGCACGTTATTGTCCATAGCAGTGTCATTCACAACAGCTAATAAGTGCAGACAACCTGAATATCTACCAAATGATAAACAGATAAATATAAATATATCCATATAAAATACGATTCATTCACAAAAATGGCGAAGTCCAAGGTGAGGGGCCATGGGGAAAGGGCCAACCAAAATGAAGGGGTAAGAATGGAAACCTATAATCTTGTCATCAAACTAAGAAATAAAAATGTTGGAAGGGACATCTTCTATATGGCTTGTCAAAACTCTTCCTTGCAGTTATGAGTCGTTAAACAAAATCCTCCATCAGGTATGGGAAAACGCTTATGAGTTCTTGGTCAAGGAGGCCCTAGACATCCACAAAATAACAGCCTTGTGCTGTTGCCCTTGGTTACCTACCAGAACTAGACAAGACCCTGATGCTGAAGTTATCCACCACACACCTTGGTGACTGCATATGGAGAAATCAAGCCGAGACTGAGGTGCAAGTCTCCTCCATGACAATTAGTACCCGGGAAAGAGAAGGTATCGATTGTTTTACCCATCTATGATTAATACAAACTACAACATTCAGGCAGTGGTGGCACAGCTATTACGGGGATAACTAACTGCTCTGGTTGGATTTGAGACCCACCACACAGGAGGGAATTTATACCTGAAATCATAGAGCCACTGAAAAACCTACGTTTAGGAAGGACATCAGACTTAAGGAGGGAAAACGACTCCATTGTTTAGTAATTTGACCACCTCCTAAAATATATGCTTATGCTCATAAACAATTACAACTCTCAGTTACAGTCAGTGAAGTCTGTCTTGTCAGTAAAACCGTGATGGTGACAGAACAAATGACAGCTCAGTGCGTGTCCCTGAAGATTCATTCCCTCCAAAGACTCCAGAAACCAGAGAAAGACTGTAAGACGCAGGATAGGAGGAGGGCTGTGATATTCTGTTCTCTGGATAGCACACAGCACAGCAATCACGAACAACCAGACTGCATTGCATGCTCATCTAAACCTGTCAAAGCTCTAACTTAATAAGGAAGAACCGATTTTAAAAGCCAACTACTAAACTCTATTATTTTATAAGCCCTCATACATTTTTAAATCATCAGCCATTCATATTCTGAAGCCTAAAAATTATTCAGAAAGATCTACAAATACCTTCCATTGCTCAAGTACTTTATTCCTATCACAAATACAATTTTAGAAGTAGTTTTATACCTGCTACTATTTCATATTTGTTTTAAATTTTTTTACAATTTTCAGAATTATCCGCTGAATGTTTGATATAATTTGGGCAGACATCTTTTGTCTATAACACAAATCACTTGATTATGCAATAAATAGATTTTATTCATATAGTAAAACTCCAATAAATTCCCATTTATTTTACCTAAAATAGAGTGAAACACAGTTTACGTGTTATAATATGGATAAACTTCGAGAAAATTATACGAAGTAACAGGTAACATGCACAAAAGCCTGTTATTATGAGTTCACTGAAAAAGTATTCAGATTAAGTAAAGCCACAGAGGCAGAAAGAAGACAGCTGGATTTCAGGTCTTGGGGAACTAGAGAGAATGAGGCCACCTACCAGTGGTTGTGGCATCCTTGGGGAAGCATCATCATTTGGAACCTCAATGAGTCTGTTTTGTGACTCTACAGAACACCACAGGCAAGAAAATTCACATAGAACACAAATGAATTTCTTAGTATTCTGTTGGCGGACAAGTCTGACTCAAGCTCCTGGTACTTGTGTAAGGCCTTTCTACAGTGTTTCACATGGTAGAAGGCAGAAAGGTAAAGAGAGATCGAATACTGTGTCTCTGTATCAGAAGAGAGCATTTCTGGAAGCCCTGTGGAGTGACCTCAGTCTATCCATAAGGCATGCTAGAGACCTCGATTAATGTCTTCCAAAAGGCCTCATCTACCATCCCTATTTTGCTAGGGCCAACCAACATGAATTTCAAGGACACATTCAGACTTCAGTAGAGTCCAATGGACAATCAGACAACAGCGAGAATGTATGAATCACGTCTGAATTAGACTCTTTGCATGTTCAATTGTATGATATATTTTACTTCCGCTGAAATATGCACTAGTATAGTATGCTTCTGATCCTTAAGAAAATCAGGACTCCATGTAAATAAGTATGTCTGGGAGGAAAAAGCATGAAAGAAGTAATATGAGATGTTAATGAGGTCAAACTTAAGATATAAAATAATGAATGATCTTTCGGTGTTTTTCACCTTTGCCTCAAAATATATTACTTAAAAAACATGACAAAAGCAGCTTAATAGTTTAAATAAATTCAAGCAGGAGTCTGCTTTTATCCCAGCATGGTAGACTGGAAAAGCTAGTAGTGAGAAGGGGAAAAGAAGAGTCAAAACAGAAGAACTGATCTCTGCAGGAAAGAGCTTGCCAAGTAAGAGACTCTTCAATAGAGTACCTGACACCTCCTGACTGGCTGGAGGGTTCTACGGAGCCTGCAGGATGACCACTGCCAGCCACACCTACTGTGACCTTCCTGAACAAAGTCAGTTAGCCTCAAGGGAATGGACATCCACTTGGGACAAAGAAAAGATTGGAAAATAAACTCCAGATACATTTGAAAATTGTTACCCCCAAATTTTCAAGGGCAGTTTTGGCTTATGGAACATAAAGGCAGTTATCAACAGAAGTTTAGTTATTTCTTAAAGAAAATATATTGCCCAAAGCAACCAGAAGCTAGGCGCTAAAAGCCTCTGTCCATACCTAACAAGGACTCACAGACAGCAAGTGCTAAGGAAATTGTCCCATCAGTACTCCAGCCAGTGCCAAGCTGTTTGAGCCCACAGGAGAACAATTGACAAAGGAAACCCTTGCACACAGCCTAACCAGGAATCTCCCCACTTGGGGAGAACAAGAAACTTCCTTTCTCCAGCAAATTCTAGATTTCTGGGAGCCAGTGGCTACTGCATGACTCCACTTATTTTCCACTCTCCAAACATTCTGAGTTATGCAGATGGTCAGGATACAACACCGGTGTCACTCTTTGGGAGGATGGCCTGCTTTCCATGTCCAAGGGAACTGCCTACAGGATCCAGTCATTCAAGAGACTGACTAGAGCCGAATCAGTCTGGGCTGTCTCTTCTGGCGATTATCTGTGACGGCACTGCTAGGAAATCAGAAAATCCTATCCCCCAACCACCGTCAGTGGACAAGCAGCCATGCCCCACCCTGTGCTGCCCATTCTCCCACATGCCAACCTGAAGGCTGCACCCATAGTTTTAAAGAATAGACTGTGAGTTAATATGTTTTCTCCATCTCTTTCCTGACCACTAAGTCCTTACAGGCTATATGTTCCTGAGGACATAGCTCTCAGAGCCACTAAACTTCGTATGTGTTTATGTGCATATGAAATAATCACGAGTTACTAGGATTTGTCAGTTACTGCTCTAAAAGTAACCTCCAGCATATAAAAGACATTTTTGGGGATGAAGATGTTTAAGGAAATAATAACAGAGGATATGAATTGGCTACTAGGACACTAACTTCAGAGACCTATACAGTGACGACAGCATAAGGATGACAGGATTCAAAGCATGAGGCTTACAGCATCGGACGGTTATCTGTTCTAATCTTTAATTGCTGGGTACATTTGGAATGTCACCAGGCAACTCTGAGCTTTTGCTAACCTCTTGTTAGTCACAATCCCAGAGTTTTCCAGTGCCAACTGTGGACATCAGTTGCTTTGTTCCATGTAACTCTCAACTTTGTGTGCATCTTTCCACACTTACATTCCAAATAAAGTAAGTCTGGGAGGCTACATTGAGGGAGATGCTTCCAAAATATGACTCCTTCTCATCTTGAAAAGATGAACATGACCTCAGCCTTGTGGGCACCAAAATCCAACTAAGAAGTATGCTACGATCTATTGAAGATGACCAGTGGTTGGGTGTAGGATTTTCTAGCAGTGGCACTAAGAAACAAGCTTCCCCCAGGAAGGAAAGGAGTCTTAGCAGCTGTAGCTGCGCAGTTGCACAGAGGACTAATCTCTACCACAGTGCTGCAGCAGGTACCTTTGCTGATGTCATGATTCAGTGTGGTTCGTGTGAATTGAAGTGCAATGCTTTGCTTTCTAGAAAACTTTTCATGAGTTTCCCCTTATTTGGATTACTTTCATTCTCCCTACATGCATTTTTTCCCCCAACACCAACTAATTCTACGACACCAGCTATATGTGACAATCCAATCCTGATGCTATCTCTGGTTAAAGGCTCTCTTGGAAGAACCTTAACTCCACAGGTTAAGGACTCATTTCCACCAGACTGTCTCCATTTCAGAAGACAGCCACAAATTGGCATCCCAGGCCTTCCACAATTTCCTTAACTAGGTACAAATTCAGCAATTCTCACTATCACCTGTTGAACCACTCAGAGAACTCGGAAGTATTTTACTTGTGTAGTGGTTGGTTTACTCTCTTTACTCTTTTGAGGGGCCCTTCTACCCAGCTCCCAAATAAATAACACACAGAGGAATTAGGAATGCCCAATTTATCAGGAATGCCCAATTCATTAGGAATGCCCAATCTTAGCTTGGCTTCCTTCTTGTTCACTTTATTTTTTTAACTTAAATTATCCTGACTACTTTTTGCCTCTGGGCTTTTTCCTTTCCTTATTTCTGTATATCTTACTTCCACTCTTACTCCGTGGCTGGCCACTGATGTCCTCCTCTCCTTGTTCTCTTGTTGGTCTTCCTTTTCCTCCTCATTTCTCCTTTTTAGTTCTACTCTCTGCCTACCAGCCCACTCCTTCTAGATCCTGCAAGAATATTTGTCATTCAGAGCTATTTGTCATTCAGCTCTTTATTAGACCATGAGGTGTTTTAGCTAGGCAAAGAATCACAGCATCACAGAGATAAACAAATGAAGCATAAACAAAAGTCACACACATTAAAATAATATTCTCCAGCATACTTGCCATTACTGCTTAGTATAAACAGCACATACAGTCAAATGTAAGATGAATAAACACAGCAAGGTATGAAGGCAGGTAGAGAGCAGAGCATATAGTCAGATACACAACCTTTCCAGCAAGTCAGTGTGCACTGACCTGAAACTCTCTAGAGTACACTGGTTAAAACTGATTTATCAGACTGAGATGGTTCAGTGGGTAAGAGTTATTGCACACGCATGAGGACCTAGGTTCAAATCTTTGGCACTCATATAAAAAGGCAGACATGGCTACACGTGCCTGTAGCCCCAGTGTTGGGGGACAGAGAGATAGGTCCTTGGAACTCACTACCCAAACCACCTACTCAAAACAATGAACTTTGGTACAGTGAGAGACCCTGTCTTAAAAGAATATAGTAGAGAGATAGGATACTATTGTCTTCCTCTCTTCTTTTTTTAATTTTTCAAGGTAGAATTTCTCTGTAATTTTGGAGCCTCTCCTAGAACTAGCTCTTGTAGACCAGGCTGACCTCGAACTTACAGAGATCCACTTGCCTCTGCCTCTTGAGTGCTGGATTAAAGGTGTGCGCCACCATCATCCAGCTTGTCTTCCTCTTCTTGTTACTGAATGATTCATGCACCTGCATACCACCTGCGTAGCACACACACACACACACACACACACACACACACACACAGAGAGAGAGAGAGACAGACAGACAGACAGACAGACAGACAGACAGACAGACACCAAATTAATAAAAGACTTAATTTTCAAAGAGGCAAGGCATGTTGGCTTATACCTACTGCAGTATTTTGGTATTTAGAGGCTGACAGGAAAAAAGCAGTGAATTTGAGGCTAGTCTGAGCTATAATGCAAGATTCTTTCTCCAAAAATAATCAATGGAGGGATTTTCAAGGTTGTGTTATATTATTTGTCATTGACAGTAAAACTGAACTTCCAGCCTTCTGCTCATACCCGTGTGGCTCAGAGTTCCTGCCCTTTGTCCCCTGAGTACCAGCTTTCATTACTGAACTTTCCAGGGCCCACCAAGAGTCACCTCAGTAGCATAAACTCCTGAAATGGATAACTGAAGACATTCCTGTAGCCTAGGAAATTCCAATGTTTTAGGAGCTTTGTGACAGAAACAAAGGTAACGGTCAAATAAAATCTTTTCTGTACAGTGTTCCCCGGAGATGATAATTCTGCTGCTGCTGATTTTAATAACTGACATAACTGTATAAAGAACTTCGTTGTTCCTAAAAAATAGCTGTTCTTCAAATTCTAAAAGCTGGTAGGGACCTTGATGCTTTCCTGAAGAGCCCAGGCATGTCAGCTGACTCTGACAAGGGTGCAATGGACAGACAAACCCTTTGTTGCTGCTGGCATGCTGACTGTAACAGAGTGAAATCACAGATGGCAGTTTGTTTTTATGCCTTTTCTGGACAGTGCATTTCCTGGAGTAAGCCCCTCATCCGATGGGTTTGCAATTTTGATATCTATTTAATTCTCATTCTTTCCTTTTTGACAAAGTGATCTCTCACTCTTTTTAGACACCACGTTTCCCTTAACTGGGTTTCCTCTCCTGCAGTTATGGACTATTTCTGCCTGAAGTACATATATAAACAGTTCTTCTAAAGCTCTGAAGCTAACTGAAACTGCTTATGTGCAGACACACATGGGTACACATTCTGACACACTCTCTTGTGGTTTTATCCCTTCTCTGACATAAAGAAGGAACCCCTTCAATATTTTCATTTTCCAGTTTGTTAAATATTTATAGGGCATCCATTGTTTTTTAAATAGCAAATTTGCACTTAAGAGCATCTGAAACAGATAAAGATTCTGTTTAAGGGAAATCTGAAAATGAGCTTGGTCTGCAGTAATTTTCTTCTCATTTGGAATGGTCCACCATAAACAAGAAAGTAATATACTTTTTAATCTGCTTCAGACTTATTTCACAAATAATTTTTGGAGGTGCATAAACTCTAGCTTAGGGACTTAGCATAGTTCTCAGGATAAAGGTCTATGACCAGGAATAGAATATCAAGAGTGGATATTGAGAGAATAGAACCAAGGTGTGGGGACATGGGGAGAGAAGGGGGTGAAAGTTTCTGTCCCACCCAGTCCTGCAGCCAATCAGTGCCAAATAAATACACAAAGGCTTATATTAATTATAAACTGCTTATCCTATTAGCTCAGGCTTATTACTAACTAGTTCTTACTGCTTAAATTAATCTCTAATTCTTGTCTATGTTTAGCCACATAGCTTGATATCCTTTCTCAGTCAGGTATTCTCATCTTGCTTCCTCTGTGTCTGGCTTGTGACTGTGTCTCTGTCTTTCCTCTTCCCAGAATTCTCCTAGTCTGGTCACCCTGCCTACATATCCTGCCTGGCCACTGGCCAATATCATTTTATTAAACTAATATGAGTTTTATAAAATCTTTACAGTGTACAAAAGCATTATCCCAAATAAGAAGAAGCAAAAAGGAATTTGGCTTCTTTTATTGACTACATGTAAATCAGAATCCAAACCAAATCCATCAAAAGATCTATGGACTGAGGAGAGGTCTCAGTGGGTCAAGCCCCTGCTATATTTGGGTTTGAATCACCCAAATCTGTGTAAATTTTATCACAGTTCCACACAAACACCAGTATGTTACTATAAAATGGAACCAGAGACAGGAGAGTCATTGGAAACTCAGGGGGCAGCTAGCCTGCCCTAGGGGCAACAGACATGAACCACAGACTCTGTGTCAAGGTGGAAGAAGAGGACTGGAACTGAGAGTTGTCAGTAACATATTCAGGCTCTCACTCCTATATATGATTGTGAATGCATGAGTGCGCGCACACACATTCACGCACACAATGATAATCCCGCCAGGGATATTTCCTAATGTAGGCTCTCACATATACTTCCAAAATGAATGCCTTGCCATAAGTCAGTTTCTCTCCTGCTTTGTGTTTTAGAAAACAATTCAGAAGTGCTTATAACCAGAGATGTCTGGAAAATTACTCCATTTTCCTCTCCATCAAATAGTGCTTCCATTTGATTAATCTTTGAGAAAGTCCATGAGAAAATTTATTTTTGGAGAAAATCAACTTTTTAAGATGTTCTTTTAAAAAACACTTATTTTATAGGTATGGGTATTTTTGCCTACATGAATGTCTGTGCACCGCATGTATGTATGGTTGGTATGTATGCTTGATGCTCACACAGAGACTTGAAGAGGCTGCTGGATTCCCTGGAAGGCTGGACTTGCAGACAGTTGTGAGCTGCCATGCAAGTACTCGGAATCAAACCTGGATCCTCTAAAAGAGTAGATTGACCCATGTAACTTGTTTTGGTTAAAAGAGGCAAATCTTTAGTGTCCTACACACCAATCACCTTAGTTGTTGAAATAAAACGTATCTATCAGGCTATGCAAGGAAGAAGTCACTCATGTTTATATAAACCAAGTCCAATGTGTGGCTCTGTGCATTTAAACTTCACACTGCAACACGCAAGAGAGACAAACTCACCAACCAAATCACCTGAGAAATTGAAGCTGCTTATCTGGGAGCCTCAGTTAAAAACAGACTATTTCCCAAAAAAATCTTTTCCTTTTTTTGTTAAATTCACAAATCTATCCCCCCCACACACCCTATAAAGTATCTTTTATCAACTTTCTACCAGAAATTCTAATCTGAAATCCACATTGCGGGGTGGAGTGGAGCAAGAGATGCATGCTTGTACATGGTCATATATAGTATATGTTAAGCATGTGCACAGGTGAGTGTATATCTACACTTGGATACTCAGGTACATGAATGTGTACACAGACACATTCAGTCTTCAAGTTCTACATCACAAAAAATCTGTAAAAAAGGAATCATCACAAAGCCCATCTTATAAATAGAAGAGAAGGAAAACTGAGGTGGCATAGACAAATGTTCCTTTGCAGGGATGGTGATTTTAAATACAAACAAGCCCGTCTGCTTCATCGATGAGTTTGTTTCCAAGGTGCTCACAGTTCCTTTTTCCTCTCTCTGCGCAGGGTCTAGAGCTGCCTCACCACCTCAGCTTCTCTGCCCACTTCTCTGTGGTCCAATCTGAATTCTCACCTAGGTCACCTCTCAAAGCTGAGCCATTATGAGAACATCAAAATCATTCTGTAATTTCATGAGGAGTCCTGTTCGTGAGGAAAGTGGAGCCGACAATTTTCTGGGCAGTAAGGATTGTGTTCCAAATTACTGAAACCAGAGTCATCTAATAACGAACAATGCATGTTATTTTTTGAAACCTGGGGCAATTCTGGGGCTAATTTTCCTTTGTGTTTGCACTAATAAAGTCCAGAAGCAAAGCTGATTCCCTAGGTGGATGTCTACATATCTTTGTATCCTGGATAGTTTGTACAAGTCTGGGAAATTCATCAGCATTTTCTAAGAAGTTAAATCCTCTGAGGTCCTATTGGCTCAGACTTTGGCATGGGTTTCCAAACCCAGACAAGCTGGTCACAAAAAGTACTACAGTGATGCCCACTGAGGATTTCCTACAAGTCTTGCCTGGTCAAAGTGGCAAGACTGCCATCTTGGAAACCAACATTTCACCAAAGTTTTAAAAGCTTCTGTTATGTCTTCATTATTAACTGTAATTGGCTTCCTTATATAGGCAGAAAGAAACCTTGGGGAATATGATACAGAGTGTGAGAGAGTGTTTGAGAACCATATACCAGGAATCCATCTGAACATGTGATAGACTTAGAACACACGTGCAATAGCTCCTCAAATGTTAATTTAAGTTATCATGAGTTTTGAAAACAGCCGCACAGAAAGTAATTCCCACGACCCCAATTTCCTCTCATCATGACCTCTTCTTCTTTAATTATTATTGTAGCACTGTCAAATTTGCTCATTTATTTAGCTCATGGAATAAATAGTCTCAGTGCACAGAAAGATATAAAGAATTGTCCTTCAATTAATTTCAATATCATCATAGCATCTGTTTAAGTTCTCCAAAGCAGTGCCTCTAAAATTAAACATGTGCAGCTCACCTGGACAACAGCTCTGAGGCCTGGGAGTGTGCAACCTGGCTCACGGGTCGCGGTGAATTCACTGATCTTATTTGCTTTTACACTTTGAGTATCAAGGTGCTGGGTGACTGACTCGGTAAGCTTCACGAGGGGGGAATCAAGATTGTTTGTATTTCCCTAGAAAGAGTAAGTGATACATTTTAGTGTAAGGAGAATGGAGGAAAGGCAGGAGGATGAAAACTGAGTTTTCTCTGGAAATCTCCGACACTGCTATCTGTTATGCCTGCAAGAGAGCACTTGACCTGGTGTCAAGCCCCAAAGAAAAGGTGCCAATTAGTTGGAAAAGAACTTAGCAGGAAATTCAGAGGCTAACACCGAGCTTGCATTGAGACAAGGAGAGCTTCAGCAGAGGAATAACTGACAGAGGAAGAAAAGAAAAAAAAAAGTAGAAGTCAAGTCCACCTTGGAAGCTATCTAGATTTAGCTGAAACATAAGGATCGATTCATCTCTTTGTGGATTTATTCAGCAATTCAGCAAACAGCCGGCTATTCAGAGTGAAGTACGGTGTCCCAAATTCCTAGATTCTTCAGCAAATACTCAAATTCATGACACTAGTTAAGCTCTATGATTCTTGACTAGAGACAAATATTGTGCGATACTTTCAATTTTTGACCTTGATAGTCTTAAGTCTATAAGTTTAAGGAAATGCCATCTAGTTGAGGTTTGGTCTTCGCCTTGTTTTGAATGTAATTGAGCAATGGGTTGAAATTCACAATAACGCTTGACTTGTAACAAAGCACTCACACATCTGTCCTCTCTTACCCATGCCTTTCTCTAGCAGAATCAGTTTGCCACACCGACTGATATCAGATTAAAACATGGCCATGCAAAAATAGTGTCACGTGATCAAGTCAGTCACGTATGGGTTTTCTGCATGTGCAGAGTTTTCTGTAACACATGTCTAGCAGTTGGTGTTCTTCACTGCTTGGCCCATTAGCTCTAGTTTCTTATTGGTTAACTCTTACATATTAATTAATTTAACCCATTTCCATTAATCTGTGCATCGCCATGAGTCAGTGGTTTACCGGCTAGAGTTTCAGCACATTTGACTCTGGTGGTGGCTCCACAGTGTCTCTTTGACTCTGCCTCCTTTCTCCCAGCATTCAGCCTAGCTCTCCCTGCCTACGTAAGTTCTGCCTTGCTCTAGAAAGCAGTTTCTGTATTCATTAATGGTAATCACAGCACACAGAGGGCACTCCCACATCACCCAGCAGTCCAAATACTGACCTCATCGGGATACTTTTTATTTATTTCTTCATTGATTCTTCTCTCACGTTACATTTCCCTTCCCTTCTCTCCCCCCAGCTCCATCCCCCACCTACCTGCTCCCCCAAATTCATTGTTCTTCCATTTCCCTTCAGAAAAAGGCAGGTCTCCTAGGAATATCACCCAAACATGGTATATCAAACTGCATTAGGCACATACCGTCATATTAAAGCTGGGCAAGGCAACCCAGCAGGAGGAAAAGGGTCCCAAAGATGGCAAAAGAATCAGAGGCAACCTCCACTCCCGCTGTTAGGTGTCCCATGAGAATACCAAACTGTCTTTTTTCCATTGTATATTTTTGGCATTTTTTATCAAAAACTGTTTATCCAGTCTCGATTTAACTTTGCTAAGTGGTACCCTTCAAGAAAATTTTAGATTTCTTTTTTACTTCATTTTATTTATTTATTTATCTATCTATCTATTTATTTATTTTAGATTTTGAAGTTTTGTGGCACGTTGGTTTTGAAGAATGACCTAATGGTTCTTTAGATTTACTTGGTGTTTGTTGGTGGGTCCCCTTTTTTTCTGAATTTGCTAGTTTGGATACTGTCTCTGTCTTTTAGCTAGTTTGGATAGGCCTTTTACTATCTTGTTGATTTTCTCAAAGAAACAACTCTTGGTTTTCCTGATTCTTTGTATTCTCTTTGTTTCTATTTTACTGATTTTCTCCTTCTGTCTCAGCCTTCTGTCTGCTCCTCTTGTGTGTGTTTGCTTCTTCCTGGGCTACAGCTTTCGGGTGTGCTGTTCCATTGCCCGTCTGAGATCTCTCCCATTTATGCAGGCGCTTAGTCCTATGATCTTTCCTTCTAGCACAGCTTTCATTGTGTCCTGTCAGTCTGGGTATGCTGTGCGTTCATTTTCATGGAATTTTAGGAAGTTCTTAATTTCTTTACTTCTTTCTTGACTTAGTAGTCAGTCAGTAGAAACGTGTCCAGTTTCCGTGAGTTTGCGGGCTTTCTGCTGTTGCTGAAATCCAACTTTAATCCCTGGTGGTCTGACAGATGCTGGGATTTATTTCAGTTTTCTTGTATCTGCTGATACTTGCTTCATAACCAAGTATGTGGTCAGTTTTGAAGAAAGTTCTGTGAGGTGCTGAGAAAAAGGTAAATTCTTTGTGTTTAGATGCAATGTTCTGTAGATATCTGTTAGGTTCATTTGAGTCATAATGTCTATTAGCGCCCTTATTCTTCTGTTTAGTTTTGTCTGGATGACCTGGCCATTGGTGAGGATGGGGTATTGTAGTCTCCCAGTATTAAGGCATGAGATTCAATATGTGACTTAAGTTTTAGTGTCTTTAGAATTGTGGCTGCTTTTGTATTTGGGGTATAGATTTTAAGAATTGAGATGTCATCTTGATGAGTTTTTCCTTTGATGAGTATAAAGTGTTCTTCCCCATTTTCTTTGACTAATTTTGGTTTGAAGTCTATTTTGTTAGATAAGAATAGCTACACTGGCTTGCTTCTTGGATCCATTTGCTTGGAGAATCTTTTTACAACCTTTTGCTCTGAGGTAATATTTATCATTGATGTTGAGGTGTGTTTCTTGCATGTAATAGAAGGATGGATTCTGCTTTGTTTATCCCTTCTTTTAGCTAGTGTCTTTTTATTGGGAAATTGAGTCCATTGATATTGAGAGATACCAATGACCAAAGATTGTTCATTCCTTTTGTTATTGGTGTTGCGCGCTCTCTCTCTCTCTCTCTCTCTCTCTCTCTCTCTCTCTCTCTCTCTCTCTCTCTCTCTCTCTGTGTGTTCTTTGGATTTTGCTGGTTCCTTGGTTTGGAGTTTTTCTACTAGTACCTTTTGTATGGCTGGATTTGTGACTAGATACTGTTTAAATTCGACTTTGTCATGAAATATCTTGCTTTCTCCATCTATGGTGACTGAAAATTTTGCTGGGTATGGTACTTTGGGCTGACATCTGTGATCTCTTTAGAGTCAGCATTTCCTCTGTCCAGGCGCTTCTGGCTTTTAGAATCTCTGTTGAGAAGTCATGTGGAATTCTAATAGATCTGCCTTAATATGTTACTTGGTCTTTTCCACTTGCAGATTTTAATATTCTTTCTTTGTTCTGTATGTTTAGTATTTTTATTATTGTGTGGCAGGGTGACTTTCTCTTCTGACTCTATCTGTTTGGAGTTCTGTAAGTTTCTTGTATCTTTATAGGCATGCCCTTCTTTAGGTTAGGAAAATTTTCTCCTATGATTTTGTTACAAATATTTTTTGGGGTCTTTGAGTTTGAAATTCTCCTTTTATTATATAATCCTTAGGTTTGCTCTTTTCCTAGTGTCCCAGATTTTCTGGATATTTGTGTCAGGAATTTTTTTTAGATTTAATGTTTTCATTGACTGATGTAATAATTTCTTCTATCATGTCTTCTTTGCCTCAGGTTCATTCTCTCAGCTCCTGCAGTCTGTTGGTGATGCTTGCTTCTGTAGTTTCTGTTTGGTTACCTAAGTTTTCAATCTGCAGGATTCCCTCAGATTTCGTATTTTTTATTACTTCCATTTCGATTTTCAGATCTTGAATCAGCTGCACCTATTTTTTGTTTGTCTGTTTGTTTGGCTTTTATTAAGCAATTCATTCATGTCTTCCCATTGTTTGTGTTTTTCCTAGATTTTTAACGGATTTATTCATTTCCTCTAAGGACTTCTGTCGTCATCAGAAAGTTGGTTTTAAGGCCATTTTCTTTTGTTTCAGCTGTGTTGGGATATTCAGGGATTGCTGTGGTAGGATTGCTGAGCTCTGGTAACGCCATATTGCCTTGGTTGTTGTTGATTTTGTTCTTATACTGGTATCTAGGCATTCTGGGGTTTGGATGAATCTAAGTCTAGGTGCTGATGTCTTGAGTCTGTCTTTGTTGAATGAATGCTTTCTTTTCTGTGTTTTCTGTTTTCTCTTCGGCGTTCTGGTCTTTGTGGTCTATATTTCTGGCTGCTGGTCTAGCAGGTAGTCTCCATCAGAAGTGGGGACTGGATTTCTGCCATCTACCATGGCCTTTGGTCCAGCAGGGTATCTCTGCTCTTCTGACTGGCTGACTGACATGGCCTGACCCTGCACAGCAGATCTCTGTCAGCCTAGGGGCAGGCTTGGCAGTGGAGGTAAGGGAGCGGGTGTGGGATGTGTGTGTGTCAGTTTAGGCTCTGAACCCAGAATGTGGGAGGGTTCGGTGGGCAGGTGAGGTTCTTACTTGTTCTGACTTGTGTAGCCTGCAACTGAGTAGCAGATAGCCACCTGAGGTGATCCGATACTCTACTTTTTATTTTTAAGAGTGCTTTACATATATGTGGAGGTCAGAAGGCAATGTTCAAGAACTGCCTTTCTCTTTCCTCTGTGTATGTTACAGATACCAAACTTGGGTCATCAAGCTTGGCAGAAAGTGGCTTCACTTACTGAGCTACCTCAGGCCCTCCTCTGGAAACTTCTTCATAGACACATCACAGTGCTTAATCTGGTCACCCTGTAGCCCATCACATGTGAGACACAATACCCAAGCTATCTCCAGCCACCATTTTAACTTTACATGAGGTTTCTGCTTGGGGGAGTTTTGTGTTTCTTTGGTTGGTTTTTATCAGTTTTCCTCTCATCTCCCCAAGTGGGTTTTCATCTTATTACCAGAGGAGTACTCTCAACCCATGTACTGATTACCCAGCCTAGGTTTCCAAAGTCAGATAAGCTACTCACCAGAAGTACTAGAGTGTGCCCCACTGAGGATTTCCTACAGGCCTTCCTTGGTCAAAGCCAACACGGGGAAACCGTAATGTATCCTGTGTATACGCACATACCTGCCTGTCCTTTGGTCTGTGGGGTGAGGAGTTTATTTCCAGAATCCCAATTTCAACCTTGAAAAATCTCAGTAAGTCATTTCCTTAGACCAGCAGCTCCTGTACAAACGACATGAGACAAATATAGGAGCATTAGTATTCGGAACTTACAGTAAACCAACTACACAGAAGCAGTCTGAGTTTTCAAATACAAACATTTAGCAAAAGGTTCAGAAATCAGCAAAGCACCCAAACTTGAGATTTGGTGTTTAGACATATGAGGATGACAACGGTGATGATGAGGAAAGGAGAGGAGGAAAGAGGGAGGAGGCACTTACAAATGAGCTCATTGGCAACAGGCCAGAACCAATCGGGTCTTGCACCATGTAGCTAGGCACCCCACCAAGGGTGCCAAGGGAACAAACTCTGCAATCAGAGTGTTATTTAGGTGAGCTCCATCGATTCAGCAGGAGTTCAGGTTCCTCGGTGCTTATGGAGCAAGCCATCTGATGGAGCGAGCCATCTGATGGAGTAGCAGTCTTTGGAGTTGGAGGGTTTTTTAAATTTCAGCTCTGTCCATCACTCCATATTTCACAGTGGGTAAAGGATTTCTTCCTCAGAACCTTAGGTTTCCTAACTGTGGCTATATAAAATGAAAACTGTCTGTGCAATGAGCTGGCAAGAATTCCATGCGTTAATGCAGGGTTGCGTGTGCTCCAGTGGAAGCCCGGTCATGATGCTTGGTCTTATGATGAAAAGCCTGGCTCTCTGGCGCAGAGCATGGTGCTGATCCAATCCTGACAGACAATCTCACTTAAGGAAGGGAGTTAACCACAGATTTTCAGGGCAATTGAATGCTGAGATCTGAATTATTAGCCAGTTCTACCAGATCTTAATGCATCTAAATTATATGAGCCAGTGACTTGTAATGTGGAGGGCTTGGTTGGACCGTATTTACTGGAGAAGTAATTTTAACCCACACATCCTTTCAGATAGATTGCAGAGACTATTAAATGGTACACATGAGTTAGAGAGATTATAAATTCCATTATCATTTTGGATCTGGGCTTTAAATAGCAGTAAGTTTAAAAATCTATAATCTAGAACTCAGAAATATATTCCCATAGAAATATCCTTTCAAAATCGGTTTTCACATGGATTTCAAAGAACATTTCTACATTCCTTGAAGAGGTCAAAATAAAGCATTTAAGATGCATCTTGTTATGGATTAAAAGGAATTTTCTTTTATTTAACATATTCTTTTTTATTGATTTTTATTGAGCTCTACATTATTCTCTGTTTCCCGCCCTGCCTCTCCCCTCTCCTCTTCAACCCTCCCCAAGGTCCCCATGCTCCCAGTTTACTCAGGAGATCTTGACTTTTTCTACTTCCCATGTAGATTAGATCTAGGTAAGTCTTTCTGAGAGTCCTCATTGTTGTCTAGGTTCTCTGGGAGTGTGGTTCATAGGCTGGTTTTCTTTGCTTTATGTTAAGAATTTTTTTGAGACAATATTAAAGAATTAAAATCAGAGATAAAAATAAATATCAATGTATCTAGAATAATTAGGCTTCAGAAAGTGAAGCCTTTCAGAACTCTCAATTAATTGTTCAAGTTATACATTCGACATTTAATTATGCCAAAAGAAAAGGTGTCCTGACAATCTTGGCTTCAGGAAGCTGCGGGTGTTTTCATGGACACCTACCCACAGGATCTGGACGCTACCACTCTCAACAATACTCAGGCTAACTAGTGAATTCCATGACCTCTTTCAACAGGAAAGATTTCCTTATGAACCCCGAATATCTGATTTCTCATTCTGTAGATGATGAACTCTATAAAAATACAATTATATTCACATGTGTATACATACACTAAATTACAAATGGAAAAAATAACTATGAAAGTAAAGTTAACATTAATTAATGAATCTGATTGGTTAAGGGAAGTTGCCACTTGCCATGTCAACACTACACAGAAATCTCTTCTCTGAATTTCACACGGACAGCTCCGTCCCATTGTGAGAGTCACAAGATCACCATCAAAGCCAGTGTCACTTCCACGGGGAGTCTGTCATCGATGCCCAAGGAAAAGTGGGGAGACGTGAACACATTCTTAGGATTTATTCTCTTTCATTACACATGTGAATTCCTGATATCATTTTATGTGTTTAGTTGGGTACTAGCTTATTCTTACACAGTACTGCCAATGCATGTTCATGTATACATAAGACTTCTACTGTGTGTGTATATAATAATCTGAGTGTGTGACTACATAAGACTGAGTGTATGTTTATATGTATGCATAGATGAGACTGTGTATGTGTATATAAGACTGAATGTGTGTGCATACACATTAGATTATGTACGTATGTATGAGTATGTGTTCATATGTAAGACTGTGAGTATATGTGTATTATAAAAAGCTGTGAGTGAATATGCTGGTGTGTGTACATGCATACACAAGTTTGTGTCTACACAAAATGTGTAAAGTTACTTTGGAGAGAATTAAGACTGCTCCATCCTATATACCATAAAAGGATTCAAAAATACCTTTGAACACAAATGCTTCTCGTCCAGCCCCAGAGAAAGCATTTCATAAACACCATCCAAATTCCTTAGTGTCTCGATGTCAGAGCCAAGATGAGGCTACAACAGTCATGGCTATCTTTAAATAAATCATAAGTAAAGCTTGGATGCTCCCTTTGCTCTATTTTAAACAAACATAAGATTCTTCCCTAGACAGATTAGCTGTCATATGGCATGATACATTTTATCAATAATACCTGTGAGGCATGTCTCGGCATGTCTCTAAGAGCTGCTCCTGAAATTTTCCTGTCTGTTCCTAGATGTCCCCAGTTTCATTGAATATAGTTAAAAAAGATAATTAAGAATTTAAGGTTTCATATTTTTTCTACATAATCATGCAATCAACAGAACTATAAACAAAATAGGTCATCTTCTGGACTCAATTTTAGTTTGATTTTTTTGTGTTAGAAGACATTTAATTTTTTTTTAATATCAGTATTAAAAGCAATAGAAGGCTTCATGAGGAAGTGAGAACAGCCAATGTGAACACCATCACCTGAGCTAAGATGTGGCTAGGTGACACGGCTCATTCTGATTCTAACGGCTTTGGTGGAAAAGCTCCTAACCTTGTCTCACATCATCACTCCAACCCTTAGTCTGTACTTTCTTCACCCCACTGAGGCAATGCCTGCATCTGAGAACTCCTGAAAAGTGGGTAGCAGATGCCGAAGAAGTGGGCAGTGATGAAGTCCTCCAAATGCCTTTTTCTTATATTGTTTTCTGTGCCTCTATGGGTGAAAGGAGATTTTCAAGTGTGGTAGAAGCCTCAAATTGATTAGTGCTCAAAACCAGAAATGACTGTGCCTTAGGTTTCATGGGCATAGCAAGATGCTGGACTGAAATCTCCTGCCTGAGCAGGTGTGAACTTACAGCCAGGGAGATCATGGCATTTAGACCAATAATCAAACAATGAGTATGCACTTGTTGAGATCTATACCAGGATTGACCTCTGGGCACCTGAAATGTCATTTTTACCTTTTCTCTTTTGCTATTTCCTGCCCGTCTTGTAATCCAGAATCCATCAGGATCCAAATAGAATGTTGTCCATGAAACATTCCAGAAAGGAGAAACTCAGACACAAACTTTTCACAGCAACTAAATGTTATACCTTCCAGAGAGAACAAAGAACTTGAGGCATCGTGAGAACTCCACCCACTGCACTGAAGCAGCCTTAGGCAGAGAATCTCAGGTTAAACACTCAGCTCCTTGCACGTGCTTCATCAAATACCTAGAGTATAACTGTCTTAAGAGGCAACATGGGGCAGCAGAAAAGCAGCGAGGGTGCAGGTTGATCTGAACCTGAATTCTGACTCCACTAATAGTCCATTGGATATCTTTGGGCCAGGAACTTGGTCTCATTGGCTCTCTGTTTGCCCACGTGGTTTAGGAGAGAGCTGTTTTTTAGAGTTCTTGTCAGAACGAGCAAGTAAAATATATACCATCAGTTCAATGTTGATCGTACCAAATGGATGTTCTAAGGCACTTACGATACTTATCAAAGAAATTTGCCTCTTATTCAAAATTATGTCTTGGGCTTCCTGGGAGGTGGTCTCTTTTCTGGTAAACCAGGGATTTTCTTTGTCCTCCCCTCTCTTCCCTTGAAATAGAGGTCTTTCCTGTTACTAAAGATAAATGAACTAAGCAACCACACCAGCTAACATCCTCTACCAATTAGTACTTAGGAAATAATAGAGTATGTGGAGCTACAGCTAGAATACTGACAGGTCCTCAATTACATTCCTTTAATCAGGGGGGAAAAGATAAGCCATCATGTTAATGTATCTAGTAAATTATCTCAGGGCAAGTCTGATAGTAACTTTTTAAAGCATAAATTACATCACTGCCATCATTCATAGTGGGTCCTAGAAGCGATGTAAAACAGAATGCACTCAATACAGTAAATATTTGTTGACCAACTACATAATACTATCTTCCTAGCTCATCTGTAAAATGTCCAAGAAAGTGTTTCATATACCATATCTTAGTGGAACATGGATGTAAATTTTCTAATTTAGATCTTCCCATAGTAGTTCCTATTTACTCAGCATATCTTCCAGCTCTTTCCATGGCTTCTCATGGAACGTGTTTCCTTCAAGCTTATATGCATTTACAGCCCTAGCAGTTGAAGTTCACATAAATTTCAACCCAGATGGCCCTAAACAAATGTGACCCTTGCCTTTTCCTGGGGCATCAATATCTAGTCTTTCATTAGCTTAATGAACATTCTATTTCCAGTCACTAAAGACTGACTGAATGCCTGGTTGGCAATGGGATTTATTATGAGCCTCTGCATGCATTATCTTATTTTATTATGACAACTTTATAAGGAAAATACATAGAGATAGCCCATTTTGGAGATGAGAGGATTGAGGCACAGAGGCATTATTTTCAACACAACTGTAAAACTGAAAGTGAGAATGTCAGCTACGTTAGTGTCGTCATGGATAATAAACCAGACTCGAACAATTTAAAGGGAATGGGTTTTGTTTACAGTTCCAGAGGCTTCATTTTCATAATAGGGGAGGAATGATGGG